TGCTCTGCATTTTTCAGTGTTCCGCTATCAGAAGAAAGCAGACATCTTTTTGCCTTCACTTACCAAGGTAAACAGTATACATACACCAGAATGCCCCAAGGGTTCAAACACTCTCCCCACATATTTAACCAGGTACTAAAAGTAGATTTGGAAGATTTGAGATTGGACAGTACATTGATACAATATGTAGACGATTTGCTAATATGCTCAACAACATTAGAACAGTGCCATCAGGATTCCATTAAGGTGCTGACCAAACTGGCTGAAGGTGGGCACAAAGCCTCCAAGGAAAAGTTGCAATATTGTCAATCACAAGTCGAATATTTAGGTCGACTGATCGCTCATCAAACCAAAGCGATATCCCCTAGTCAATTGGAGGGGATAAGCAAGGCCCCACAACCACAGACCGTGGGACAAATGATGACATTCTTAGGAATGACTGGATTTAGTGCAGATTGGATTGAAGATTATGCTGTTAAAGTAGCCCCCTTAAGGGCCTTGATGAAAAATGCAGGACAGCAGAATCTTAAAGCACGATTGACATGGAACCCTGAGGCACTTGTAGCGTTTAACACGATCAAAAAAGAAATGCAGACAGCACCTGTACTGACATTTCCTAATTATGACCGAGAATTCCATTTGTACGTAGCCGATAGAATTGCAGGATTTGCCTCAGCTGTACTAATGCAAGAAACGTGCAGCGGACGCAAAAAACAACCGATTGCGTATTACAGCACCAAATTGGATAGTGTAGCACAGGGATATCCACCATGTTATCAACAAGGATTGGCTGCTGTATACTACGCTTATGATAAAGCTTCTACTATCACAATGGGTTATCCAGTCACCATATATACCCATCATAAGACCGCAGAGTTGTTAGAACAGGGACGATTCGTCTTAACACCGGCAAGATGCCTGACGTACTCAGCATTACTGACCTATCCTGACGTGACTATTAAAAGATGCACCACAGCAAACCCAGCTAACTATGTCCCACTAGAGGGAGAAGGGACACCTCATGAGTGTGTCCCTGTCTCTCTAGCATTTACCCGTCTGAGACCAGATTTGGAGTCAACACCGATTGTTGATGCAGATGTAACCTATTTTGTAGATGGATCATGTTTCAGAGACCATCTAGGGAACCATGCTGGTTTTGCTGTTGTAAGACAAGATGGAGATAGCTTCACTCCCGTTCTGACTGAACATTGTGAACAACCCTGCTCGGCACAATTGGCAGAACTGAAGGCGCTCACAGAGGCGTGCAAATTGGCTAGAAATACAACTGCCAACATTTATACCGACTCGGCATACGCTCATGGGGTATGCCACCTGTTTGGAGCAGTCTGGAAGCAGAGAGGGTTTAAGAAGAGTGATGGTACACCAATACAGCACAGTGACCAAATTGTTGAATTAATTACAGCTCTCATGTTTCCCTCAAGAGTGGCCGTAGTCAAATGTCAGGCTCGTAAAAAAGGTAATGATTTTGTAATCAAGGGAAACAATGCAGCAGACATGCATGCAAAACAGGCCTCTGGGTGCCAATTGGCTGTTATGGCACCATCAGTATTGATCCAACCCCTTCCTTCTGCAGATAGCATTGCCCAAATGCAATCAAGAGCAACACCACCAGAGATCCATTTGTGGCAGCAAGGGGGCCTCTAGAGATGCAAATAATATATGGCGCTCTCATGAGGGATTGATGATAGCTCCGTTGCCATTGTTAAATGTCCCTGATCCCGATGCTCATAGTTTTGATCACTGTGCAAGGGGGAGATGTTAAGAAAAATTAAAAGACAAGGGTTCTGGTCACCATACCTTCAAACGCGGATAGACGAATTTTTAAATGAGTGCGAAACTTTGTGCTAAGAACAACGTCAGGAAAGGAACATCAACCCCAATTGGCTCCATCCCAGTTCCAGAAGGCCCTTTTAAACATTTAGTGATGGACTATGTGACATGCTTAAGTCAGTAAGGGGTAAGAGATACATGTTGGTGATTATTGATAGATTTAGTAGGTGGGTTGAAGCAGAACCATCAGCAGATCAAGGGGCAAACACAGTGATAAGATTCTTGACCAGAGAAGTCATTCCAAGGTTTGGAATACCATCACAGATTAGTTCGGATAATGGCTCAGCCTTTATTCAAAAGACGGTTAAGGCAGTCATTCAACACTTGAGAATGAAGCACGTTGGGCTGCATTTATCACCCTCAATCACAGGGGATCGTAGAACGGATCAAATGGAACTATTAAGGCCAAGATAAACAAGATATGCAGACACCAAACTTAATTGGGTAGATGCGTTGCCTCTGGCCCTAATGAGTTATCGCATGCAGAAAATAGAATTACTAATCTGTAGAGATGCTAACAGGTAGACCAATGCCAGCACCACATTTGAGAGGCCCATATGATGGACCGCCGTTAGAACAATTACAGCTGGAGCTGAGAGCGTACATTAAACAGCTGACCACTATACATGAAGCCATTCATTCACAGGAGCAGAACAGGGGACCTCAAGAAGAGGAGGATATTCCCTGCCCAGTAGTGCCTGGAGATCAGGTATATTTGAGGGTGTTTAGAAGACGGTGGAATGAACCAAGACGAGAAGGACCATATACTGTAGTTAGAGCAACACCCACAGCAGTGCAGGTAGAAGGAAGTACGACATGGTATCATTTGAATCACTGTACCAGAGTCCCCAGACGACGACATAGGGAACAAGAGGAAAACAGGGACAGTGTAGTAGAACCGCCGGCTGAACAGGTTGAAAATGTCCAAGATCAACAAGCAACACAACAAGAAACGCAACAAGAGACTGATAGAGACAATAATAACTATGCTAATGAACCTCATTCTAGGGAGGCTGAGCGCACTGAAACAAGGGATGAAATGCAGGGACGGACTGAACTACAACATCCGGAGGGCACAGAACCAGAAAATGAGAGAGCTACTGAGCCTGATCTTGGTAATGATGTGCCTGCTACAACAGCTGCCCCAGGTACTGACACTGCAGGAGGACAGTCAGCTGTACCCGGACCGTCTGCAGGACATGCATATGACCCAGAAGAATTCTTCACCCTTGACTTACAAGCAATTGACCTCCAAGACCTCGAACTCCCAGAGACCGGTGGAGCAAACTTTGAGTGGGACGACTATCTCGAGCCCATTATTCTGACTAGGCCGACAGAAGGTAAAACAATGCACAAACATGTGGTGAAAAGAGCTGACAAAACAGGGTAGTATTT